CATGTCCCCCATGCCCCCCATGTCCCCCATGTCCCCCATCCCTCTGGAGGAAATGGTTTGAAAGAAACACCGGATTTGATCAGTTATGTACGCCCATAGATCGGCCCCAGGGCTCCACCCCCCCCCCCTCCCACAGCGTCATTCATAACGCGATATATATTGATTGCTAAATAGAAATAGATGTTTTAGCAGTGTTGACACTAAGGGTAAAGTCACATCTTAAATCTTGGTGAGATCAGTTCATTCACTAGGACTGTTAACCAACGATTAACATTTTGTTTAATCTCTTGGTGAGCTCAGGCCCTCCACGAGGACATCTGTCCTAGAATTGAAATGCTGAGACAGCCCATTGAGTTCAGTCCGTGCCAGGACACGCGTGACCGGATGAAGAAACAGAGAAATGTCCTCCTGGAGGAGATGTACAACTACACATACCGCCAGGGCCAGGCCGCCATGGAGGCAGTGAGTAGGAGACCTCGTGTATTTCTAAATGTATGAGGATTAGATCCTCCCCAATTTTGTATTCATATTTATGGTCGGAAAACACAGGGGCTTATCCAAGGTTAGTACCACTCAGAACGAGTAAAGATTTTTGTCGCCCACTCCTTGACAAAACTCTATTGGTTGGCCGGAATTGCCTCATAAAAAAAGTGCCATCTGGCACGGACAACCCCCTTTGCTCCTCCTTCCTACGCCACTGGGTAAACCTAATGATGGGTAAGTTATCAAAGACACGTAGGCTTCATCGGCAATAACTTTCCCAAACTTGTCAAGTTTTCTAAATGATATGTCCAATTCTTTTGATGATTTATGTCAGGCGTACACAACTCCAAATGTAAGGTGGGTGAAATACTTTTTGAAAAACTTGTGCGGGCCGAAAAATAATAGGACAAAGGGAAAGCTATTAAGAAAATAACACAAATAAAGAATATTTCGTTACTTCGCGGGCCGCCAAGTGGATGCCGGCGGGCCGTATGTTGTGCAGGCCTGATTTATATAATTACATTCATCGTTTAAAAAAAACAAAAAACTTTTGATTGCATCTAAATGTTTCCAGGTCCATAACAGTGTTGCCATAAGGCTGGACCTTAAATAGATATATATATTTCTTCAGTTAAAATCGATTATGACCCTTAATCATCATATTTGTGGGTGCGCAGATGGCTGATGAGACAGATTCTGGCACAATATGTTCTTGTGCGGTAAGTGCAGTGGATTGATGGGACATCTCCGGGTGCAGATTTAACCCAGGATTGTCTGGCTGTGCTTTTACCTTTTTGTTGTATGGGGCAATATGTGTACCTAGGAAACGCCACGATGCACAAACCTTCGCCCATTCTTCCTTGGTGTCCGGGTCAAGAGCTAACGCTTTCAGGGAGACTTTTAGGTTTTCTTGAAAGCGTTTCATCTGACCACCAGCAAACCGCCTTCCATGCTCACCATAGAATTTTCTTGTGAGCAAGCGGTCGTCTGCCATTGTCATATAGCCTTGTTGTCCCAAAGCCAGGTTGTCATAAAGCCTGGTTGTCATATAGCCTGTGTGTCATAAACCTATTTGGCATATAGCCTGGTTGTGATATAGCCTTGTTGTCCCAAAGCCAGGTTGTCATAAAGCCTGGTTGTCATATAGCCTGGGTGTCATAAACCTTTTTGGCATATAGCCTGGTTGTGATATAGCCTTGTTGTCCCAAAGCCAGGTTGTCATAAAGCCTGGTTGTCATATAGCCTGGTTGTCATATAGCCTGGGTGTCATAAACCTATTTGGCATATAGCCTGGGTGTCATAAACCTATTTGGCATATAGCCTAGTTGTCATATAGCCTTGTTGTCCCAAAGCCAGGTTGTCATAAAGCCTGATTGTCATATAGCCTGGGTGTCTTAAAACCTGTTTGACATATAGCCTGGTTGTCATATATCCATTGACCACAATTACGAAGAAGAGAAGATCAATTTTATTATTCATCACATCCAAATGTTTTCAGGGCCATTACGAAAAAGCTATCCCAGCGGCTGTCGTCTGTGCCAAGTATGCCCAGGAAATCTGGGGCACATCTTCCGAGGTTATCCCCCCTTTATTGGTCGCTGCAGAATGTTACGTCAACCGTGGAATGCTGGGAACCGTAAGTTACGATACCCGGTAGAAGTAATTTGGTAGTCGAAGATATCCTGGTACAAACTCATTAGAGTAGCCCATTTAATCATATTGGAATTAGATATATCTCTTTATGACAATTCCACAATCTGCTACCTGATACCTCGACAATCTCCTACCTGATACCTCCACAATCTATGACACGATACCTCTACAATCTGTGAGCCGATACCTCCACAATCGGCTACCCCATACCCCCCCCCCCCCAAACTGCTTCAATATACCTCCACAAACTACTAGATGAAAATAACTACCTTTTCGTCTTTTTACACGATACCTCAATAAAATATTGTGCGATACTTCAACACACGGCATACACGATACCTCAATAAATATTGTTCGTGCGATAATTCAACACACAGCATACACGATACCTCTAAACGTCACCGGTGGTGGCTCATTGACTCGATACCTTAATCTGGACATGGGCAAATTTTCCCACTTGCCGGAAGCCGGCAACATCACAAATACGATTTTTCTTCATTCAATTGACAGAAATCAGTTTTTAATGTTAAGTGAGAGAAGAAACATCTTAACAGCTACGTATTTTATGAGCATAAAGAATAGATCAAAAAATAATAACCAGCATTTATTTGGTAGTAATTTTATTTAAAATCACCTCGCGATCAAAGTGACCTGTGGCCTGTGACGTCTTTTTCTGCTACTGTTGTTCTAATCTGAGGGTTTTTAGCTCTCGGTGCGTGGACTCTACCATGTTGATTTAAACCAGTGGTTCTTAACCTGTGGGTCGTGACCACTTTTGGGATCGAATTACCCTTTCACATGGGTCGCCTAAGACCATCGGAAAACACATAAAACTCTACAGTTATTAAGTAACAACGGAAATAATTTTTTGGTTGGGGATCATCGCAACATGATGACCTGCATTAAGGGGCATTAGGAAGTTTGAGAACCACTGGTATAAACTAAGGCAATATCACCTTACAGGCTGACGGTTTCCTGGCCAGAGTTTTATGCATAGAACTAGAAGCCACGAATGTCAAGCCGTCAATCAAAGCACGAATCAAGAGAAACGAAGGTCTCATTCATCAAGCCAAGGTCAACTATCAGGTAGGTCGACCTTCGAGGTCTTTCAGTGTGGTAGATTTTCGTCAATCTGTTTTTACATCAGAAGAAAGATTTTAAAATATTTTTAAAAACTTAAATTTTATCAAACCCAGGAGGAGGAGGAGTTGCAATTATGGAATGTCGCCATCGACTATTGACACGGGACATATGGAAATGACACGGAACAGATGGAAATGACACAAGACATGTGGAAATGACACGGAACTGATGGAAATGACACTGGACTGATGGAAATGACACAGGACATGTGGAAATGACATGAAACTGATGGAAATGACACTGGACTGATGGAAATGACACAGAACATGTAAAACCAACAACGCTCGAGCGTTTGATATGTTGTAATTCTTGTTCTAGGAAACCCTCGAGTGTTTGATATGTTGTGATTCTTGTTCCAGGAAGCCCTCGAGTGTTTGATATGTTGTGATTCTTGTTCTAGGAAACCCTCGAGTGTTTGATATGTTGTGATTCTTGTTCTAGGAAGCCCTCGAGTGTTTGATATGTTGTGATTCTTGCTCTAGGAAACCCTCGAGTGTTTGATATGTTGTGATTCTTTTTCTAGGAAGCCCTCGAGTGTTTGATATGTTGTGATTATTGTTCTAGGAAGCCCTCGAGTGTTTGATATATTGTGATTCTTGCTCTAGGAAGCCCTCGAGTGTTTGATATGTTGTGACTCTTGTTCTAGGAAGCCCTCGAGTGTTTCGCGGAAGAAATTTACCAGAATACCGAAGAGTACGGTCCCTTGCACATCAGAACCTCCGGTGGGTACACTTACCTGGGACACATGTTTCAGGTGAAAGGTGACCCGCTGTCTGCCATCTCGCTCTACAGGTAAGCAAATGAGCGACCAACGGTGAGATCTTTAGTATCGATACGTTTCAGCTGATATTTGTTTTATTTATTTTATTTTTTTTACTTTTCAAAAGTTTTTAAGGTCATGGCGCAACGTATTCTTCGGCTGATTGACAGGGATACATTTAGATATGTCTTGTAGATAACGAAAGATGCCCGAGCTACTTAAATGTTTAGCCAACTATTTTTAACCTATGCGTGATGTGACGTCACATTGTTTTTTTTTTATCATATGCCTGATGTGACGTCACATTGGGTATTTTCATCTTGCGCCTGATGTGACATCACAATGGGTATTTACAACAATCTTCAGTTTTAGCGTCTAGAGTCAGAGTCATTATTTGCTTTAGAAAATAGATGTTTTCTTAAGACGTAGTCTCAGAACATAAATGCTATATGAAAATCATGAATAATATATTATAGATATAAACTGTCAAGCTGTGGGCTTAAAGAGTACTAAAACTGAAATCCATCCACGGATGTGTAGCCTTTTTTTTTAAATTGCGGGGTCCTATGTATAACAGATTTCCATTTATTTGTATCAATAAAAATATCTTATTACTTTGTCTTCCTCGTCTTTACAGGCAGACTGTCAATATTTGGATAACCACAGCTGATCCTATTTTGGAGGAAATTACATCACAGCCGGATGTGCCAATTATCGGTGCCATTAAAACGCAGCAAGAAAAAGTTCGAATGTACCAATGTGATAAATTGGAGGGGTTGAAGCTCTTGACGTAGGTCATTCTCATTTATCAAAGTAGGCTGTGCGCATGTTACAGACTTAATGACGTCAGTTTAATTAAGCAGTCAAACGAGACTCCCATCTTAAAAAGAGATGTAAGGTTTTTTTTTTATTTTTTTTTTTTTTAATTGGGGGGGGGGGGGTTTTGCATTAAAAATTCTTCTTCTAGTGCTCACCGTTTGAAAATAAACACTCTCACACCATACGCATACTTTCGATGCCTTTTAACAATATTTCTTCATTATAGTGAATAATTTATTTCATCTAATTCATATTTTGTAACGCCAATGACAAACTGTACACCACATAGTGAGATCATGATAGGCTCATCATCATCAGTGGTGCTACAGCTCATGTAGGTCCCTGGCCTGCTCTACCACATCATTCCCTTCAGACATCATCATCAGTGGCGCTACAGCTCATGTAGGTCCTGGCCTGCTCTACCACATCATTCCCTTCAGACATCATCATCATTGGCGCTACAGCTCATGTAGGTCGCTGGCCTGCTCTACCACATCATTCCCTTCAGACATCATCATCATTGGCGCTACAGCTCATGTAGGTCGCTGGCCTGCTCTACCACATCATTCCATTCAGACATCTTCATCAGTGGCGCTACAGCTCATGTAGGTCCCTGGCTTGCTCTACCACATCATTACATTCAGACATAATCATCAGTGGCGCTACAGCTCATGTAGGTCCCTGGCCTGCTCTACCACATCATTCCATTCAGATCGGTCCATGGTTTGCCTCGTCCATGCGCGGACCCCCAGCTGGGGCTAGTCCTTCCCTACATCGTCCATCCAACCAAGTCTTGGTTGACCGGTGAGCCGTCGATCACGTTTGCTACTCTAACATCCGGCATCCTCTTCAGGTCTCCTGACCAGCGCAGTCTGCCTTTTTTTAATTGCTTTGAACATGGTTGACTACAGCTTTAATTACATACCTTAAGTCCTGCGGATACTCACGGGAACGTCGTTCCAGTCCATTTTTTTACTACTACATAGATCGATAGATTTATTTCTGAAACGGGAGCCTTTGATGAGTTCCCACATTTTGTCCCAAGACTGGACCCTTGATTAATATCACGTGTTCGTTTCTTGACTCAGGAAGTGCTACACACATTTGAAAGAGATTGAAGCCCGTCTGGTGCCTCCCTTGGACATCATCAGGACCGTGTACGCCATTGGAGTCATGATGTACTTGAACGAACGGTACGCGGTAAGTGGGGTCAAGTCATCTTTGAGAAGTTTCCTTGTAGAGTAGCATAGAAAACTGACTGAAAAAAACAACAAAATAAATGTGTAATCCCACTCTTGTGTAATCCCACTCTCTTGTAATCCCACTCTTCGTGTAATCCAACTCTCGTGTAATCACACTCTTTGTGTAATCCCACTCTCGTGAAATCCCACTCTCTTGTAATCCCACTCTTCGTGTAATCCCACTCTCGTGAAATCCCACTCTCGTGTATCACACTCTTTGTGTAATCCCACTCTCGTGTAATCCCACTCTTTGTGTAATCCCACTCTCGTCTAATCCCACTCTTGTGTAACCCCGCTCTTGTGTAATCCCACTTTTGTGTTATCCCACTCTTGTGTTATCCCACTCTGATGTTATTCCACTCTTGTGTTATCCCACTCTTGTGTTATCCCACTTTGTGTAATCACGCTCTTGTTTAATTCCACTCTAGTGTAATCCCACTTTCAGTATAATCCCCCTCTTGGGTAACCATACTCTTATCTACCCTACCCTTCGTAACCCCCCTCTTATGTAAGTCCACTCTTATGTAATCCCACTCTTATGTAATCCCACTCTTATGTAATCCCACTATTATGTAATCACACTCTCAGTATAACCCCACTCTTGTGTTATCCCACTCTTTGTGTTATCCCACTCTTGTGTATCCCACTCTGTGTTATCACACTCTGTGTTATCCCACTTTGTGTTATCCCACTCTGTGTTATCCCACTCTTGGGTAACCACGCTCTTATCTACCCTACCCTTCGTAACCCCACTCTTACATGGCATCAATGTTGTGTAAGTCCACTTTAATGTAAGTCCACTCTTATGTAAGCCCACTCTTATGTAAGTCCACTCTAATGTAAGTCCACTCTTATGTAAGTCCACTCTAATGTACGCCCACTCATATGTAAGTCCACTCTTATGTAACTCCACTCTAATGTAAGTCCACTCTTATGTACGCCCATTCTTATGTAAGCCTAGTCTTATGTAAGCCCACCCTTATTTAATCACACTTTTATGTAAACACACTTTTATGTAAGCCCACTCTTATGTAGGCCTAGTCTTATGTAAGCCCACTCTTATGTAGGCCTAGTCGTATGTAAACCCACTCTTATGTAAGCCCACTCTTATGTAGGCCTAGTCTTATGTAAGCCCACTCTTATGTAGGCCTCGTCTTATGTAAGCCCACTCTTCTGTATGCCCACCCTGGTGTTGCAGGACGGCAAGTATCGCGCGCAGGAAGGTTTGAACCTGTGTGGAGACAAGAACCACCCGATGTTCAAAAAACTCCTGGACCTCAACAAATACTGCGAGCGGAAACTCTTCAAAGAAGACAAGAACATGTTGGAATCCCAGTCTGGCATCGATGACCGATCGGACACCAAGTTGGATTAAGACATAATGAGTCATTGTTTGCTGAAATGTAGTTTTGAAGATGTCCATTGTATCGCAGTGTTGTAAACATTAAGGCTCAAGTCATATGACCTCAGATATTTCTCTACTCTCTGCTCTCACTGTTCTCAAAGTATTTCTTCTCAAATATCTCCATGCAGATGGAGAACACATCTGTTGTAGGCAAACGTTATCGAATCATAAAATCTGCAGCCAAAATGATCTTTGAGTTTCTGGGGATAGTTTGAAATCTCGACTGTAATCACCGTTGCCAGATAAGACACAAGTGTGGGGAGTCTGAGCAGCGCGGCGCCGAAGAAAAAGTGGAGCTAGGGGTCATGTCTGTAGATGCCGACCTCAATAAATAGAAGAAAAAAAGTGCAGCCCATGGTGGACCAGTAAAAATAACAATTTTTGGGCCCCTTGTCTTGGTAAAGTAGGCTACATAATACCATATCATTTCCTTCACTGTCAAGGTTTGGATCTAAAGATAAATTTGGCGCCCCCCTTGATGTCAACGCCCGGGGCTAGTGCCCCCCCCCCTTTTACCTCTACCCTTTCTCATGTCCCTGTGCCTAAGATTCAACAAGCCGTAGATTCACATAATGTTTCACTTTCAATCTCGATAAGATCGATACATTAATAAGATCGATACAATAATTAATATTGCAAATGTTCGAAGTTAAATCAAATAAACCAATCTTTTTGTTTAAAGTTTTTGAAATAAACAATAAAACTAATAAGTTAAGTTTAATTTTAAAATATCTAGAGGTCAATGGAATTTCAATATTCTCCTTAATCGGTGAGGCTTGACAAGATCAATCAAAGAGAAGATAATCCTGGGGGAAAACATGGCTGCCCTCGATTTTCACTATACTTGGAAAGACGATCGCCGCTGGCCGTATTTAAATAGACTTGGTCTTTGTTGCAATAGAATAGACTTGGTCTTTGTTGCAATTTTGTTGTGATAAAATAGACTTTTTCTTTTTTGCAACAAAGTAGACTTGGTCTTAGCTGCAATAAAAGACTGTTATAAACAAAAAAAATATTGAAAGAATATGTGTGAAAATGTGAGTGTTAAGCACTGTTGTAAAATTAAACAAAATAAAATATAATGACCCACACAGAATTATGACGTCTTTGCTAAATTTCAGTAATTTTTTTTAAAATTGAACTTTAACTTAAATAATTAGTTATATACAGCCTATACATAATGGTCGAGTTTTTAATTAAAAAGTTTCAGAGAGTGTCAATTAAAAGTGTCAGATAGTGTCTATTAAAAGTGTCAGATAGTGTCTTTTAAAAGTGTCAGATAGTGTCTATTAAAAGGGTCATTTTATGTCAAACAAAAGTGTCAAAATATGACATAAAATTTTATGGAAATGTCACAAAAAATAATTGCAATTTAATACCATTGGCATACATGTCAACCTGTAGTCTACGTTTTACCCGTACTTTGTACAGCTTTTATACGTTTGCTGAGGTGTACGGTCGAACAGGCATGTGTACAGTTTTCATCTGTTTGCTGAGGTGTACGGCGTACAAGCATGTGTTCAGTTTTTCACTTGATTTAGAGCGTTTATTTTTATACAAGATTCCCGTTCAAAATTGGTGGTGCAATGAATTCAACGCTGAGAAGCTTAAATCCTATTGGTCCGTTCCAAATGAACAACCAATGGTCGGTAGTCCAGCTAAATTTAGAAACTGCGGTTTCCTTGATATCATTCGTTCATGCTAAGACAGCGTAGTACGGTTGCTAAGACAGCGTAGTACGGTTGCTAAGACAGCGTAGTACGGTTGCTAAGACAGCGTAGTACGGTTGCTAAGACAGCGTAGTACGGTTGCTAAGACAGCGTAGTACGGTTGCTAAGACAGCGTAGTACGGTTGCTAAGACAGCGTAGTACGGTTGCTAAGACAGCGTAGTACGGTTGCTAAGACAGCGTAGTACGGTTGCTAAGACAGCGTAGTACGGTTGCTAAGACAGCGTAGTACCGTTGTAACTTCTTGAGTAGAAAACCTGACTTAAAAATCCGTATGTGTAATTTTTAACAAGAACTGCAATGTTATTACGAGTTATTTTAATTTATGTTGAATAATTAAGTATATTTAATTGTATTATCAATCAATGACTAGCCTTAGTCCTATTTATTTCAACGTCCTACCTTACTTCCTCTGGTACGATACAAAACAAGGGTTATAAGATAAAGGTAAACTCAAAAACTCTGTCAGGACGGACGAACGTTATTTGAATTCGTTCATTTAAATTCAAGACTCTCAAGTACCACAGCTAGCTTAGTCAACAGAGAAAGTATGTCTCATTGCATCTTAGTGGCGTTCTTGTTCAGAATCCAACCCTTTTTTTTTAAAAAATAAAATTGCTTTTGACCAGTGAGAATAAACTGAAAATTTGACACAAATAGGACTAACAAAAATGTCTTTTTTTTTTTTTTTAAAGGATGCGAAGTATCCAATATTGAATGATGCAAACATGGTTCAGTGTGCTCAAAACATTGGCTTCAATGATTTAAAACAATATAAGTTATACTTTTTTTTGGAATTTTCATTTTGTTCTGTACAGTTTTTCCATTGTATCCGGAAATTTGTTTGAAAGAAATTTCGTCCACGGAAAATTGATCGACGGAAAATTGATCGAATCGTTTATTTTGTTTTACTCTATAGTCTAATTTCCGGCAATCGATTTTCATGTTTTATTTTTTGGTACATTTTGTACAGTTTTTTTTATCCCACTTTTGCTTACTTAAACAACCACTCTCTTCTCAGTCCTAATCAGTCGGCCTATAGACCTTTCCATAGCACTGAGACAGCTCTCTTGTAGTCACCAATGTCCTCTTGCTCGCATTGAACAGCGGAGTTATCTCCATCCTGGTCCTCTTAGACCCCAGTGCGGCCTTTGACACTGTTGACCATGAAACCCTTTACAAAACCCTTGAAAATTACTTTGGAATTTCGGGATCAGTTTTGGCTTTGTTTAGGTCCTACCTCTCCGATAGAACGCAGGCGGTCGCTGTCGATGGCTGTCTCTCCGGCAGTGCTGAAACCGAAGCCGAAATTCGGTCTCTACTTGGGCATCGAGCAAAAAACAAATCAAAAAGCAAAAAAAAAATTTTAAAATTAAGAAATTGTTAAAGTATAAATATTTTGTAAATAATAAATGGGCAGAAATTTAATTGAATGTTTATTTTATTTATTTTAAAATTCTGATAGAAATTTGTCAACCTCGGCTATTAATAGAATCAATCCGGTGTTGGTATCAACACTACGAGACCTTGGGAAATTTCCCCAGATCTGGGGAATTCATAACTCCTTTTGGGAAGAGAGTTTACACAGGCAGGGGTAAACATAAGAGGAACACAATAAAACATACATTGATCGTGGCGTAAATTTAACGAAATCACGCCCAAAAATGAGTTAGCAATAATTTGAGTAATCATCTAGGAGTATCGGATTTGAAAGTACTACAGGTCAAGGTTTCTTTATATTTGGAGCGCCATTCCCCCCCCCCCTTCCTCCTTTGACCTTGATTTCAAAACATTGCCGTCATCGCCACTTCGATTTTAATAATAATAATAACAACTATTAATTGCCGCACCACCACCCCCACCCACATGATAAAAATGATGATAGGAACGCAAATAATCTTGATTTCATCATAAGAACGCTACGACCCCTTTCACACTTAAACGATTTTTTAAAAGTATAATTATACATGTTTTATCATCTGGGGAAATGTGGGGATTCGGCCTGGGGATTTTAAAAGATCTCAATGGTACCTTCGGCTGGGATTGTTATTCTATTATATTTGCCATGCTTAACTTAAACGTTAGACGCAATATTGTGTCGTTATGAATTCAAAAAGTAAAGAAAACGGGTCTTCCTCATCGGACTCAAGTGATGATGAAGAAGAGGCTCGAAAAATTCAAGAGGCTCTATGCGATGAAAGCATATTTAGCCCCAAAAGTGTTTCACCCCAGACAACAGTAGTAGGCCGAATCCCTGGTTTGTGCCCTATTCTAAATTCTATTATTATTAGTTTCTACTTACAGTCAGTGAGTCAGTTAAGTAAGTTTGACTCAAATTGTATTACTGCTTCTACTACTAGTATTAACATTATTAGCGTACGCATTTAAACTATTATTTATTAGACTTTTACTATAAGCTCAGTAATATCTTGGTAAGTAGTTGGGCCTAAAACTAAAATTGTAAACTAACTAAACTTTATTATTACTTTATAATTTATATTTATACCTTTGACTTATTTATAAGTTATTTATGTTTAAAATAATATAAATAAGTATGGGCCTGTTTTTTAAATTATTTACCTATTCAAAATAAAATAAATATTAACTAAGGCAGTAAGTTTGAGTAAGGGTAGGCCTACGCTAAGAAAGACCAACCAAGGCAAAACTTCAAACAGGATATTTAGGCATTAGGCCTAACTATTAACACTAACATATATTAAAATAAATTTAGGGTATACTCTGTTAAAATTTAATGACAGAAATAGTGGCTACATCAAAATGTCGTCCTCAAGGGGGGGTGGGGGAGGATTACAAAAAAATCAGTCAAAATATTTTGATTCGTGGATGTGCCAGAAGTAAAAATGATGGGACACAACTTCTGAGAAATTCAGCAGTCTCAATGTTAACATCAGCAGTGCCCACCTTTTTCTTTTCTCCATTTATTCTTTGAGTAAATACCTCCCAACTGCAAATATGTAAATAAAGCTTTTAATAATGGAACGGGTGTGAAATAAAAAAAAACTTTTTGTGGCATATTCGGCCATTATCAATATAATTTTTTTGTACGCCAAGTATTCCAAAGGTTGGGAACCACTGGTATGCACAAAACAAACAAAATTTTTACCAGGTACTGACAGACAGGTCTGCTGATAAGTGATGCACAGAATCAGTGTAATTTATTAAGTTACAGGTCATGGTTATTTGATAAATGGTAAGCCTTAATGATTTCAAACTTGACATGACATTTAAATTCATCTTGACCTCAACACCCCTTTTTTTACAGTTCCATTTTTCAAGTCCTCTGGATCTGTGGCGAAAGAAGAACTCACACACGAATTTAAAGCACAAATGAAATCATTGAAATCCAACAGGTGGTTTAAATTTTAATAGCAGATCATAATATAATGACTTGATACACATAGTCTCTAGTAACTATAGAATATAACATATTTCTTGTTACACTAATTATAGAATATAACATATTTCTTGTTACACTTCCTATTTCGTTACAATGAACTTATTTACTGTCCCCAGGCCACAAGACAAACATGATGATAATGAAGGTAACCTGTTAGACACAACGCCTGAGTTTCGAGCTCACGTGGCCAAGCTGCTGTCACAAATGTTGGATAAGTGAGTCCCATCGGAAGAGGCCTCCCTATTTAGAGGCTTATTTCTAGATTAAAGGAGACCTGCAAGTTAGCTTATCATATTAAATTTTTAATTTCATCAAATGCAATTAAAGATTAGATGATAAAGCATCTTATTAATTGTATGGGATAATATTAATATTGTGGAGGCTGCATTCACAAATTCAAGCAATTAAATGCAGATTAACCTATTCATAAATATTGGGTTTCTTCTTACTTTAAAAAATCAATTTTTATAAACCCTATAAGTTGTATTATCAATAACAATGTATACATTAATTTTATTATTACCGGTATATATGTTATATATCTTCCCAACTGCTATTTTTACTGTTTCAACCCTCATCCTCACAGCCCTCCACCATTAATGTGTACATTTAATAAATAAAAATGGGACCCAAAAGGAAAGACAGGAAACTATTTAGTTTTAGCAATAAACAAACATAAGTTGCAACATTTTCAAAAATAAGGTCAACTAAGAAAAAAACTGAAACAAAAAAACAATTTAATTATCAAATTTTAATTTTTTCTCTACTTAGTGATGTACATTAGAATATGTTTCTCTACTTAGTGATGTACACCATTTGAACCAGAACATATTTATTTTACATACTTTGCATATTAAAATACTTTTGAGCCCTACACAATTACTTGGTGGAAATATCAAAATTTCAATGTTATTATTATTATGATCTTAGCCTGAAGATAAATGGAATGTGGAATAAAGAGCATATTAAGACAGACAAGATCACCAATATTATTATATTACTGAAAAAATTGTATCATTGTTCCAGTTGTTCAAAGAAAAGGCTGCTTTTAGAAAAGGAAGCATCAAAAAGCATATTCACTAAGGCTCATAATGACATTTTGTTCCTTTCCAGAAAACTTTCCAAAAAATTATCAGAACAAATTTGGAGTTTGCCAAAGTGGCTAAATAAGTCTACTGATTCAGGTACTGGTAATGATGTTTCTTTTATCAAATGTGGTTTTCAACTTTCCTGTTACACATGTAGTGGAGCTATGTCTTTATGCCTCCTTTGACTGCTAGGGCAAATACGTAGAAATATTTTTATTGTTCTGTGTCAATTTCCTCTGATTTTTTACCAAAACATAGAGAGAAGGGAAGGGGGGGGGGAGAGAGAAAGGCACTTATCACTTAGCTTTGATGCAATTTAGGGCATGTTTGTTGTTTTTATCCAAACTTAATATAATTGTAATATGGCATGTGTTCTGGTAACTATACTATGCATACATTTGCACGCAAAAAAAATGCTTTACTTCCCTTCTCTGCTGAATATTATGGCAGATCTTGTGTCCCAAATCCTCAGTAAAAGAGAGGCATTCTTTTATTTTAAGAATTTTTTCCCACCAAACAAATTTTTCTGTGAATCTTTACTGGAGTAGACATGTGAGTGAAAGAAAATCAAAGAAATAATAACTTACTAGCACAAGCTGCAACTTATCCTCCCTTAGTATTGTAATTATATTTGATCAATAAAAGAAACTAAGCAATTTTGTTCTATCGTAATAAGTATATCTATAAAATATCAAAATTACAAGGTTTGATATTATTTGACGGGAGAAGAGAAAAATAAAAGATGGGGGGGGGGGGTGTTATTATTTGTTTATTTAGTAAAATAACCAAGCATTAGTTAATTTCATTATTTGTGTTCCTACGTAAAAAAATGTAACTGAGGCTATAAATTATAAAGAACTGATGTGCATAAATTCAAATTTTAAAAATGCAAAATTGTTTTGTTTTCAGGTATTAAACTGTTTTCAGATTCCAAGACATGGTGTACCATTCAAGACAAACAAAGCTTCTTTGATCAGGTCCCAGGTGTGGCCCGGAAGAAAAGAAAACTAAGAATGAGCACAAGCTCAGAAAGGTATCAGCCCCATCCGATGCATTTTCATTAATATGTTTTATAGTATTTACTCAAGTGTTGTGATCTGGTTCTGGTAGGGTACGTTGCTGTATCTGTGTACTGGCACATGTGCAACGGTTGGTGAAGCGATGCTGCTATCCTAACGGCTCCTAGCAGATGCTAGGGCAGCCTTGAAGCTCTCGATTGACGTATTGGCAGTATTGTCCAGGGGGTTCCAAGCGATTATTGTGTGTGGGAAGAATGATTGTTCATATTGGACTATGTTACACCGAGGCACAGTGAAGCATTTACTATTGTTCCAGATGTAATTTTTTTACATTGATAAATTTTTAATTATTTTTATGTATTATAATAATTTCAAATTTTACATGTTCCGATATTTATACTAATTTAAATTTCTCATTGCTCTCTTGTCCGATTATAGTTCAGAGGATGAGAAAATTGGGGCTTGTGTTTTCTCTCTTAATGACATTCAAAAAGAAAATGACATATTATCCAAGCTGGAGGCACAAGTTCCTTCAGCGAGATCTGAATGTGGACAAGAAACTAAAATGGGACAGCACAAAAATGACATTACCTCTTTTAAAAGTCCTGAAAGCATCGCTTCAACTGATGATAAAATAATTATCAAGAAGAAGAAGAAAAAAAAGAAAACAAAAATAAATGAAAATGCTACATAAAATATTGTTTGTTAAAATTAAACTTCTTAATCAATCCTTAAATAGCTTTTATTGTTATTTGAGTTACATTTTTATTGACCCAGTTTAGTTTTAAATTGATATAAATGGGATTTACCTAGTCTGTGTATAATTTTGAGATCGATATCAGAAAAATAACTTTTGTCTAATGTTAATTGCCACCCCAACATTAGCTTACATAAAATGCAAATAAATATTTTAAGCAAAAGTATTAACATGAGACAAAACTATGACAATGGAGCTTTTGCTATGGTCAAGCCAGACATCAGTAACCATGACATAGTATTTAACACACGAAATAAAACAAATGAAACATAGGAGCTATGAGAATGATCAATTCATTGATCGTGGGCCCTCAAAATAAAGAAGAAGAAATTATACCAGTCATACAAGAACATATAAGCCTTTAAAAAAGGTCATTAATACCTCCCCCCACCCTTCCTTGTTGGAACTGTACATTTCTGAACCCATCTCCCACAATGCTTTGGTACAAATGAGCTTAGTTTGGTATATTTCAGCCACATATCCAACTGTTAATAAGAGGGTAAACTGTAAAGAAATTATCAACCTTCAATGTGCAGTAAATGTGAGTCGTGAAATCACCAATCATATTTTAATTTATTTTCATCCATGAATTCAAATTTTAAAAAGCAATATGTTGGGTTTGTTTCCTTCCGTGATTAATAACTCGATGGGAAGTAATTCGGGTGAAATAAATTTAATTATGAAAACAGCAATTGTTTCCCTTTAATTAACTCTTGGGAGAAAGTCGGTCAAGGGTTAGGTCAGAGGTTAGGTATTTATAACACTCCTGACACAATTTATTGTGTATTGTACAGCAAGCATTTTTTTTTTCATCATGTTTCTCCACCATTACTACGATGCTCACGATTCATCTAGTGTTAAGTTCACATGTGTTACTGTTTTGAGCCATATTTCTTAAGGCCTCCAGACTGTGCTGAAGTTATCACGCGTGTTGCAACCAGCGGACAAGTAGAAGGGAATTTATACAAAAATCACTGCATCTGTGCAGCCTTCTATTCGTATTGGGCAAATAGGTTCTGTGCAGACTGTTGGAATCTTGTGATTGTTTTTCTCTTGAGTTTTCTTTCTATTAGTGGTGAGGACTGGAAAAGGACGTTCGATCCCTAAGTTAATCAAGTAAATTGATGTGAGTTGTTTTGTGTTTTTTTGTCATTTTTGTTGTTGTTTTTCTTTTTGGGGTTGATTTTGTACGTGTGTGTGTGAACTTTATTCACCTTTCACAGATACATTTGTTTCATAATAAATGTAACATTGAATAATGACAAAAATATATTTTAAAATTTATACAATAAAACTATATGATCCTTGCTGTTTCATTGATAAATATTTCATAAAATTGATTATATATTTATCATATAAACATGTTAAGGGTAAGCACTTGTAAATTATAATTTATACGTTTGAAATTACAAGTCAAAATGGTCATCAATCATTGATTGAATGTGTATAGTATAGTATTAATAGTATAGTAGTATAATTCTTTATTTGATTTGAAATTAGAATTAGATCATAGATTGTTTATTTGTATGATGGTGATGGAGAGCTGAAAACTGACTTAGAAGGAAGCATCTGAATCTGAATGTAGTTAATTCTCTATTTTTATTGTCTTTTTTTTGCTTTATATAATATAATAATGTTTAATAACGCTACAGCAACAGCGTCTTAATTAGCAAATGCCTTACAAAATTAAAGTCCCTTCCTTGGCTTACATAACCCTGACAACACTATTTTTACACTACTTCTAATGACTACGATGTTGCAGCTTTCTAGTAATTCGCGAATGATAAGCATACATTCCCTGCTCTGAGCAGGCGACCAGCTCTTGTCTCAGCCAGTAGAGCAGTCTGATATAAACAACCTTGGTCGTTGCAGTTCTAATGTGCAGCCTGCCCTAGGCGATATATACGTGTGACCCAGTTTTAAATTGGAACAGGCTCACACGACAAATAAGTTCCCGACTACTAACCGACATCCCGGTTTGGTTAACGAAAAAAGCAGCATAACCCGGTTATCGCTCTACAAGTACAACGCAACGATATTGTTTGACGCATTTCTTTCTGGTGCAGAGATTTAATTAAATTAATTCGCTATCGCAAGATAGGTGTGCTTATTTTGTATGTATAGGTGAAGTTGGTCTATCGTGCTGGCCTAAACTAAACTTATAAGGTTGTATTGTAACTCTCGTCCCCTTGGCTTCCAATATTCAAACTTGCTCCGACTGGGGTACAGTCAGCACCAGTTTGAGAACCCATCTGCCTAGAGAACAGGCGATAGGGTGGGGGTTATGTTGCACGCTGCCTTATGTGCTTCGTATGACGTGTTATCAGTTTATAATCTGTGCATGTGAACTAGAAGATCTCAAATATTCTGTTATACCCCAGTGATTCTAAAATGCGAATGACTCCTGACCTATTAAACGTCACAATTTTGAGGTTAGAGTCTACACTCTACACCAGGGGACGGGAACCTATGGCTCGCGAGCCAGATGTGGCTCTATTGATGGCTGCATCTGGCTGGCAGACAAATGTTCGATTATTTTTTTTAAAAAGGCGCATTAATGGTAAGAAATACTCATTATTGATTAGCAACAGCATAACAATGTTATTAAAAGGAATTCAGAGACATAATTATTGCAATTTTAGTGTTGAAATTACTCAGAATGCACACATTTACTTGAATTTTTAGTTTTAAACATAATGTATGGCTCTCACAGAATTACTTTTCAAAATGTGTGGTGTCCATGGCTCTCTCAGACAAAAAGGTTCCCGACCCCTGCTCTACACTTATTTTAAAAACCAGCCAATTACCGCGTGCCATACAAGAAGTTCAAGTAACCGGAGCAAGCGCATGCAGTAACATTGAAGTTGGTACAAATAACTGTAACTGTTAGCCTATTTAATATAACTTATATGTGTGCGTCGGTGTATAACTGTATGTCTGACCCTGTTTGTCTTTCTGAGTGTGTCTAACTGTATGTCTGACAATGTTTGTGCTTCTGAGTGTGTCTAACTGTATGTCTGACCCTGTTTGTCTTTCTGAGTGTGTCTAACTGTATGTCTGACAATGTTTGTGCTTCTGAGGGTGTCTAACTGTATGTCTGACCCTGTTTGTGTTTCTGAGTGTGTATGAGTCTGTGTACAAAATTCCACTAAATTAAAAACAATAATAAAAAATTAAAAATTAAGTAAAGAGAAGTAAGTGAATTATGACATGCATCATTTAGTTTAAGGGCTACTGCATTATGGGTTACTGCTAATAGGGATTACTACTATTAGGGGTTACTGCTATACAATATACTACAAAATATATTAGAGCTTTATTTCTTAAATTAGAATTAGATTATTTAATATATTATTATACTAGGTAAATGTCCTCATTTATGTTAACGAGTCATCTCCGATAATACATAATTTGAATATATTGGAGTAATGCATGTATATTAGTATATGATATAAAATATAGCTGAAACAGTTTCTGTCAAAATAGTTTTTTTTTTTTAATATATCAAGCTTATTAATATTATAATTATCCTTCCTCTTTACAAACAAACGATCATTTGTGAGCTTCTAGGCCAGGTATACACAAACTTTTTAAATAAGTGGCTGGATCAGTGTTTTAAGACACTGTCGGGGGGGGGGGCGGACTATGATTTGAAGAAAAAAAAAA